TAGCTCAGTGGTAAGTGAGCACTTAGCACTCACAAGGTCCTGGGTTCAGTTCCCCGTACCTCCATTAAAATAAATAAACCTAATTACCTCCCTCCTCCTCCCCGCCAAAAAAGAGAGGGAATTCTTTTAATGGTGTAGTTTGATGACATGAAACTCAAGAGAATGCTAATAAAAAGATCATGATCCATTCAGACCTTTCAGGGAATATGATCCTATCTTAGAATCACAACACTGCTCACCAAAGCTGGTGACAGGATATTCCTATAGGCAAGGGGAACAGGGTTGCGAGAGGAGAATGAACACTTCAAGTGCTGAAATGCAAAATCACACTCAGAGGAGTAAAAGATCTGTAACAGAAGCTGGATCTAACTGAGCAGATTTTTCTTGACTCTTCACTCGGTCACAACACACGGCATTATACGAGCAAAAGGGAGAAACAGGGAGTTCAACGGACAGGTTACACTCAGTACACAGAGTGCGTGTTCGCAGGACAAAATCACACCAGTACAGAATGTTGCTCTGCTCTTAATCTGTCCTACTACATTGATAATATTATAAGGTAAGTAAAGAATAGGACAGCTTTGGAATCATGAGAGTAAGTTATAGCTGTAACTTACAGTGAAATATCATCAAAATGAGATGAATACTGTCAGTGTTCACCCTTAAGCGAGACTGACTGTGGGAATAATCACATTCAAGAGACATACCTGCTCATTTTGATTCCACTCCCCTTGCTGCTTCAGAGACGGAATGGCCCAGATGCTTAGTTTCCCTGAGAAGTGAATGGCTGCAAGGAGGGTCCCATCTGGAGAAAGGCTCATCTTAAAGATTCCATCCTAGACAATAATTATATTACATTAGTGTCAGCGCAAGGGACTTGTAGCCGAATAGAAATAACTTCCAGAATTCAATAATACTCTTTCGGGGTGCCATGTCATAAATGATCTCTCATAATTAAGGATTCTGACAGCTTCATAACACTATAACTGTGCTCCAGAATATAAAAACAAGACTCTCGCCCTTAAGGAGTTTTTTTTTTAATCTACTTTATAGTGTTATAATTTACATATCACTCAAAACTCGAACATGCAAGCATTATAAAAATATTCCTTAATGTCACACATAGATTACCATGAGTTACCAGTATCTTTTATGGGTTGATGTTGACAAAATTGTGAATCCTGAATTTGGGGTCCACATCTTTACAAGATTCTTTATGAACAATGTCTAGAATACTCCATACCATGGACTGGCCATAAATTCATGCCATGAAAGAGAAGGAAAGGGAGAGGAAGGAAGAGAAAGATGAAGGAAAAGAGGTCCAAAAGGGTGATGGGAACAAGAGACTGACTAGAGGAAAATGTATTCCTTAATTTAAGGAACACTATAAACGTGTAAGATTTTCCAGATCTGCCGGCAAATTCTTCAATTTAAGGAATCTAAGGCGTTGCCACCGAACAGAGACACCGTGCAATATTTTATGTGGCCAATCCCAGGGCACAGAGAAAGACGTGACCTCTTAGTTCCACTGGCCTAGATAATCTCTTAGTTCTTCCCTATGAGAATACCAGGTTTGCTCAGCTATCACAAGAGAAACCATCCCAGTGGAGATGTCACCTGCTTACTAACTACAACAGAACCAGAAGAATCAAGGAAACAAACGAGATCTATTTCCAATTCAGGCATTTATTAAGAACAGGGTCTAGGTAGTGTACCTGCAAAAAAATAAAACAAAGACCAGAGAACAGCAGCCCACAGCCACATTTCTCCCGGACATTTAGAAAATCTGGCAACACAGGGCCCAAACAGCAATAGTCAGGTGGGACTAGGATATTGTATGCCCTCTTAGAAGGTTCATAAGCTTTCCAGTTAGCCAAAACCCCAACTCTCTCTACAATGACCCCAACATCAAGGCCAAAAGCTGCAGAGCTGAAAACTAAACACGACTATAATGAAGAACCAGAATTTACAACGGCCTCAATTCACCGTATCTACCTGGCCTCTGTAAACAGTAGAGCTTAAGCCCACAGGTCTATGGTGACGAGGCACGTTAGCCGTCAAAAACAAACAGAGCCATTTCAGGAAGTGAGGAACAGTGTCGGACGAGTGGACGGGTTAAGACGACGAGCACCCTGTAATCTTACCAAGGACTAAACTCACTTTAACTGGACAGAGCAGCTCTGTCCCAGAATGCCGTAATAAGCGTGAGAAAGACGAAAACACAAATGCCCGCAAAGGAGGAGCAATAAAAGCAAAAGCACTTTTATCTCTGCGATGCAGACAGGGAACGAGTGGAAGATGAAGGACCGGGCATCTTTCTTTCACGACTCTGAAATCAGTTAGCTCTGTGGTTTTGTAAGACAGGCCTCTGAAGCACAGACGCTTATTAACTGAAAGAACTCTCCATCCACCCTTCGGGGTTTATAGAGGAAGAAAGTGAAGACCTGAAGAGCTAAGACACGTGCCCAAGATCAGAACCTGAGCCAGATGCAGTCTTTGCACCCACTCCATGTCACCGGGCCGCACCACAATTCCTGCCCTCACCTGGGCCACCGCCCTCCTAGTAGTCACCAGCACGCTCCTCAGAAGAACTTATGATCAAGTATATTTATTGTTTCATCAGCTGAATAATTAGGCATGTGTGATCTCTACGGTAACTTGCAGGTATTACAAATGCTCCTAAACAAGTCGACGAAAAGTGTTTTGAAAGCAAGTAGGAAGTTTATGAATCCCTTTAACAAAAAAAACAAACCAAAAACTGTACACTAAGTAACATGATTAATTTAATAGCATTATGACCAGGGAAATAATGACTAAATATGCTAAATTCCCTTTTGTTTTCATCCCTCCCTTCCTTCCAATCTCCCTATACACTTAAGCAATAAATATATCCACTAAAATGTTACCACTTCTTCTACCTCTTGATCCCTAGTTTCACTTGATACTGTGACATCCATATTGCAATCTCACCATTCCTTTCCATAGCATTTTGTTGTAGAAATTTGTACTCAACTACACAAAAGTAGAAATCAAAATATAATAAATATCCATGGGCCCAACCAATCATCTTAAACAAAAATTAACATTTCAAACTTGTTTTCAAATATCATTCCCCAATTACCACAGTGCCCTCAGGGATTTTTGTCCCTAGAGTATTTTAAAGCAAATCCAAGATGTTAAATGCACACACGTCAAGTACACAGTTCTTTCAAGTCCCAAGTTACCTGCTTAACTTTCATGTATATGCACAATAGGACGATACAGTGATTAATAGCAACTAAATTGTAGCCAGTCAATGATAGAAAAGTCACCTATGCTACTAGAAACACAGTGTTTTCCCTCTGAAATATAAATTCTGCTTTCTATTTGTAGAAACATTTCTGAGTGTCTATAGCATGCAGGGTATTTCTCGCCCAGAAAATAATGTATTATCCTGACAGTAACTGTGACACACGATATAAAGCCAGAGTTAGAAAATCCATGCTAAATACTGTGAGCAGAGTCTGCAGTATTTAAAGTCTGAATGCCTGATATTTGGCAAGGAAGAGAATTCAAGAGCATGTGTTTTGGAAATAGAAGGAAATGGCTTTTCAATCAACTGCACATCACAATAAAAGTAAACCTCAAACATTCAAACCATAATTTCTCATACTGCATTAAGATTTCTCAGTTAAGTGGATAACAATCCTGTTCCCTTCTCTTCAATTTGAATTAAGCCGTTGTAAAGGCAATAAAATTTAGGTGGAGCTGTAATTTTCAGCTGTAATTGGTTAAGATATGTCTGTGAATTTCCTTAACATTCATCAACTATAAATGCCATGTTCATCTTAATCATCATTTCAGTAGCTGGAATGTTGGTCAAGAATATCTATCTTGGCAGTGAAAAGCTGGAAAGCTTTTCCTCCAAGATCAAGAGAAAGACAAGGGTGCCCACTCTTACCACTTTTATCCAACATAGTATAGAAAGTCCTAACCAGAGCACTTAGGCACTGGATAGCCACATGCAAAAGAATGAAAAGTGGACCCCTAAATTACACTATATACCAAAAAAAAAAAAAATCAACTCTAAACGACTTAAACGTAAGACCTGAAATTGTAAAACTACTAGAGAAAATATGGAGTCAGGTAAGTTTCTTGACATTGATCTTGGCAATGATTTTTTTTTGGGGGGGGGGATTTGACACCAAAGCAAAGGCAACAAAAGCAAAAACAAGTGAGACTATATCAAACTAAAAAGCATCTACACAGAAAAGGAAACTATCAACAAAATGAAAAGGTAGCCTATGGAATAGAAGAAAATATTTGTAAACCACATATCCAATAAGGGGTTAACATCCAAAATATACAAGGAAATCATACAACTCAATAGTAAAAGACAACTAACCCAATTAAAAAATGGGCAAAGGATCTAAATAGGCATTTTTCCAAAGACACACAAATGGCCAACAGGTACATGGAAAGTTGCTCACCATCACTTATCATCAGGGAAATACAAATCAAAAACACAATGATATATCATCTCACAACTGTTAGGATGGCTATTATGAAAAAGACCAAGATAACAAACGCTGGCGAGAACACAGAGAAAAGAGAACCCTGTGCACTGCTGGTAAGAAGGCAAACGGGTACAGCCACTATGGAAAACAGTATGGAGGGTCTTCAAGAAATTATAAATTGAACTACCACATGATCTAGCAACCCCACTTCTGGATATATACCCAAAGGAAATGAAACCATTACCGTAAAGAGATACCTGCACTCCCATGTTCACTGCAGGATTACTCACAATAGCCAAGCTACAGAAAACCACCTAAGTGGTTCATCCAGCAGACGAATGAAGAAAATGTGACATACATACAAACACTCACAATGGAATATTACTCAGTCTTTAACAAGAAAGAAATCATGTCATTTGCAACAACATGAACAAATCTGGAGGGCATTTTGCTAAGTGAAATAAGCCAGATCCTGAAAGACAAATACTGCATGGTAATCACTTATAGGTAGAATCTTTAAAAAAAAAATTAAAAAATCGTAAAAACAGAGATGAAAAAAGTGGTTGCATTTACCAGGGGCTGGGGGGGCGAAGGAAACAGGGAGAAGTTGGTGAAAAGGTACAAACGCTATTACAGGATGAATAAAGTCTGAGGATCTAATACATAACATGGTGACTACGGTTGACAATACTGCATTGTATCACTACAATTTGTTGAAAATAGGACTTAAATGTTCTCACACATACTCACAGACACAAAAAGTAAATATGTGAGGTGATGCATATATTAATGAACTTAATGGAGGAAAATCCTTTCACAATGTATGCCTACATATATCAAATTATCACATTGTACACTTCAACCTTCATTTATTAATTATACCTCAATAAAGGTGAGGAAAAAAAAAAACAGTGAATATCACTGACCACCCACTTCAGTTTATCCCATGAGGTTTTAACTTCACCCAAAGGTAGCCTAGCTAGATGGTTACTTGGTAAGTTTGTAACACTGGGTAGACAGCAGGGTTAGAGGCAGAGGACTTACAAGGGCCTTCTTGCACAGTCAACCATCTGCTTACATGAGTACTGCATTTATGGCCCTTTTAATTAACCCCACCATCAGCTCTCTTCCCATCTCAAATCTCTTCCCAAAACTTTTCCAAAGATAATTTCCTCTGACTTCCTTGCATCCTAATGTAGCAATGTGATACTAACAAAATACTACTAAGATGAATAATGTGAACATTATTTTAATTTCCACTTCCATTTCTCATTTATATTGAATTCCCAGCTCACTTGTCCATCTGATCTTGTGTCAACTGCAAACACTAATTAAAGCCTTCTACTTCTGGCAGCAATACAGAGAGTAGGAACTGTACCTTCTCTCAAACACTGCAATAAAACTTTTCAATTGTCCTTTCTAAGAGAGAGGTTTTTTTTAATGTTAAATATCAGACCTTTATACTGAGATTAGTTTAAATTGCCTCCCTTTTTTCAACTGTCTATCATCTATATAGAACAATTAAAAATGAATGATTTCCAATTTCATTATACCTTTCAAATGTACAAGTTATATTAAAATGAAAGTACTGAATTCTAGTGCCCACATTCAAAATGTTCTAAATTATTACACACACTTAAAGAAAAAAAAACCTCAGCTCAATAAAAGGTGAATCTGTAAGCACTGCTCTTTCAACACTCAAAAATTATTTATCGAATATTATACAAGCAATAATACATAATAATGTTTTACACTCTGGAGAACCTGCAGTGAACAAAACAAACAAGTCCCTGCCCTCAAGGAGCTCAGCTGACATTCTAACCCACTGTACTTTTGAAGTCTGACCCCAAAAAATAAACAGAACTCTGTTTTCAAGTCAAAAGAAAGTCATCCTCAAAAGCCTGGTTAACAACCTAAGGGGGGAAGAAACTGAAAGTACGCAGGAAAGAAAAAAGCCTTTGGAAAAAAAGTTTTCCAAACCAATAAACTTTAAAAAAAACAATTATTTCTTAACTATGAAGCTTTAGTTTATTAAAAATGTGATATTGCCATGGGAATAAATATGTACACCAATTAAACACAAAAGAGAGCAGAGAAACAGAACTATAATACCCCCTCTGTAAATGTCTGTACTGACAGAGGGGGCATTATAGAATTAATTGGGAATGAATACAGCATTGAATAAATGATGCTAGCCATACAGAGAATATTAAATTAGATTCCAACTAAACTTTGGCCACAAAAACAAATTCAATATGAAAACTTACAGGTGAAAGCCAAACCATGAAACTTTAAGAAAACATAGGAGAACACCTTTACAACGTCAGGGGGTGGAAGAACTTCTTAAGACCTCAAAAGCCCAAGACATAAGGGGAAAAATTTAAACTTAAGCTTTCTGGTGACAAAAGAAGCCCAAAAGAAAACAAGTAATTTTGATCATTAATATTCTTTGAGAGATAAATTATGCCAGACAACCAGCAGTTGATTATTTCAAATCATGTAAATCTGGGGTATACTAAACCACAATTTAAATAGGACCCATAATTTAACTATTAGCTCTATAATTATGTGTACAAAGAAAGTAACAGATCAGAACAGCAGCCACCACTATCATTTATCGGGGCCTGCAAAGTGACAATCACTGCCTTAGCTATTTTAATAATATATATTCCCTCTAATATCGTCCAATCAAGTCTTGCTACTTTATAGTCTGACAAGTGACTAGAAGAAAATGAACTAAATATTAACCACATGGTCACTATATGGGAAAGCAGATCTTGTTTAAAAAGTAGCAGTAGTTAAGAGCCAACACATTTTCAAAGAGAAATGCAATTGCTGCCAAACTTGAGTCAGAAACATCATTCTTTCTGAGATGATAAGTAATTTTTAACCTGGGCTACTTTTAAGTACAACATATCTTGGCCTCTGTTTCTTCAATTGTCCAACTAAAGGTTTAGATAAGAACCAACAAGAGACAGTGAATAAACAGCACTGGATCATGAGTCAACTCAAGACCAAACCCATCTCTGACACTAGCTAGGTAGGTGAGTTTGGGTAAGCCATTTGTCTTGAGGCTTTAATGTCTTCATCAATAAAAGAGGCATTATGATGCCATGAACGCAAACTTCCTGTGAGAGCATGTAAAAGAACTGTTAAGCTAGGGAGTGTTCACAACAATATGCAATTCTTAAATAAGCTCCATGAGGCCTTTCAGCTCTAAAATTATGCTGAAAATCTATCCCCCTTAATTACTTCTGGGCTGGGAACCACTGAGTTCAAATAAGATACTCATATAACATTCAGATATTGACTGAAAGGCACTGATTTTAGAGTACTAATTTCATAAAGTCTTTTTTAAAAGTCCAAACAGTTAAGGATTCTGGTACAAGATGTCACAAAGAAAGACCAAAATATATGGAAATTAGTTGCTTGCTTCTTCCTCCTTGGGTTCAATCACAGAGGATACTGATGAAAATAAGAAAGAGCTGAGTTCCACACAAAAGAATAATCAATAGCAGGAGTCAAAGTTACGTCAATCCGGAGTTCCCAGGAGGTAAGGAAGAGAAGATGGTCATTTTATACTGAGTGAACAGTTACGTCTGCCTATTAACATACCAAATCAACTCATCAACGAAACACTTCAGTATGTGTGAGATATGGTACAAAGGAGAGTCATGTATATCAACCCTCAAACAATTCTTGTTCTAAACGTGCTACAACTATGTTGGTCCAAATAAAATAAATATGAAACAGAATAATAAGAGTCCACGGACCCCACCCCCAGCAGAGTGGAGAGTTCTGCGGTGTTCTCCAACACACGCCGCTCCTGGGCTGGCGCTGCCCAGCCTCTCCCTGCCTGCCTGCGGAGCACGCCCTCACTTCCAAATCAAGTTATCACCTCCAGAGTTAAATGGTCCCTCTCTGCACCTCAAGGGCACTTCATATTACATTACAGAAGAGGTTATAAAATGTGTAACAGGGTCCTGTTTTACGGCTGCTTCCACATCCGCCTCCCCCACTACACTGAGGGCTCCCTGAGGAGGTGCACTGTATTTCACTCGTCTGTTTACTCTCAGCTCTGACGCCATGGCTAGCTCAACTTAAGTGCTTGCTGACTGACTAAAAGAATAAATAACTGTGGAAGTGCCACATAATTGCTTAATTACTGTCAAAAGAATTTTAAAAATTAAACCCTTAAAAAAATTTTAAAGACAGAATTATTATTTAGATAGAATTAAAGAGAAAGGGAAAAAGGTCCAGGGAGAAAAACTAAATAATGCTCTCGCCCGCTGATACGGTAACAGAGAAACCAACAGATACAACACGGTCAATCAGAAACAACAAAGTACATGGCAGGGGCCAGGTCACCTAGTCCTGCATATGTCTCTTCATCTGCTAAATGAAGACAAACTCTATGAAATAACAGAAGAGAATGCTAACTGGAAAACAGTGCAGACATACAAGGGATTAAAATGAAAATGACTTTCTAGACATAAAGAGTAGTGTTACTGTTCAATTCTACAGGTACAATGCCAAACCAACCCAGAAGACGTGAACTAGTTGAGGTCAATGACAGAGAAATAACTAGAACTCAGAATTTTAAATACATTAAATACAAATGCAGCAAGAAAATGCTCATTATATTTCTTGAAATTTCTGTATTTCTTACAATCTCCCCTGGTTTAATAAAGAAATTGAACAAACAGGAAAATTAGGCTGAGTCCCCCCAAAACAGGGAGGAATATGGATTGAAGAGGCCAGCTACCAAGACTCTTGTGGCAGCCGTGCAGAGAGAGTGAACAGAAACAGGGTCAACACGGCTCATTTCCTCCTGCAACATCAGTAATCTCAGATTTAGGGAAGAATCTTTTTTTTATTTTACAACAATCAAAAGGAATATGCTATGGACAAGGACATAAAATTCCCAAAAAAAAGATAAAGTAAGAAACTTCAAAGATTTATAATGCTTCCAGGAGACTTCTTCGGGCTAAATCCCCAGACACAAGGGGACTAGGTTTATTCTTTTTTTTTTTTAATTTTCTTTATTGAGATAAGAATGATATATATGGCAAAATACACAAATCTTCAATGAAACGCTCCATGAATTCTTATTAATGCATATACCCACAAAGTACATAGTTAAGAGCAAAATCAGATGAAAATCTGTAACATTCAAGGTTCATTCAACTTTGCCCTTAAAGGGACTCTGGTGAAAATGTTTGAGAAGCACAAAGTTAAGCCAATTTGTATTACCTGTTCTTGTCCCTGGCGACTGTAAAACTTGACACTTAACATCCTTAATAATCCCAGTGTCTTCGGTACCTACAAAATAAATACACATTATACAAAAAAAAAAATCAATGGAATGCATTCTCATTGTATAAAGACCTTTTATCATGAAATGAAAAGTACAGCAAAGCTAGTATTTTAAGAAATGGTTAAGAAAATCATCAATAAGTATCAGAAATTCATCAATAAGTATCAGAAATCTTGGTGAGACTCTGTTTTTGTTTTGGGAAAAAAAAATCCTTCAAATGACAAGTCTTCACAAAATTTACCCACAATCAAATGTTTTCAAAATACATACAAAACAAGTCGAGTACAATCTATGCAAATTAGAACCTGTTGCTGAGTGGCTCTTCTCAGATGTGGCTATGCCAGGTTCCCGTTTTATCCTAGCATCTCTACGGAAAAGGCCAACACTCCCAACAGAAATTCACTCATGAAAAAATTGCTCCTACACTTAAAAAACACCAGGAAAAAAATATCATTTAGAAACAGTTTTTGAAATAATATAGCACAAGACTATTTGTCTCTAGATTTAAGAAATATACTTATAAGGGCAAATACACTTACCAAAGCAAAAATTATACTTATAATTTTTTAGAAATGGAAAGTAAGTATTTAAATTAGTAAGTATTGTTAAAGTTCTTAAACTTGGAACACTAGTACGTTGCTGGTGAGAATATAAAACGGTACAGCCACTGTGGAAAACCGTCCGGTGGTTGCTCAGAAAGTTAAACAGAATTATCAAATAAACCAACAATTCCCTTCTAGGCATACACCCAAAAGAACTGAAAACAAAATGACCAGCACTGATAAAGAATAAAACCAACCTGTCAAGATTAAAAAAAAAAAAAAAGAAGAACTGAAAATGGGTGTTCAAATACTTGTACAATTGTTCACAGCAACACTATTCATAATAGCCAGAAAGTAGAAGCAACTCAAATGTCTTCAGGAAGAATGGATAAATAAAATGCAGTGTACTCATACAATGGAATATTATTCAGTCGTAAAAGGGAATGAAGTACTGATGCATGCTACAATTTGGATGAACTTCAAAAATATTATGCTAAATGAAACAGGCCAGATATGAAATTGTATTGCATGATTCCATTTTTATGAAATTTTCAGAATAGGCAAATCCATAGGAACAGAAAGCGGACTAGCATTGCCAGGAGCTCAGGGGAGAGGACAACAGAGAGTGACTGTTTTGGCATTTCCCCTTGGGGTGAAGAAAATGTCTTGGACCTAGATAGTGGTGATGGTTGCATAACATCGTGAATGTACTAAACGCCGCTGAATTGTACACTTGAAAATGGGTAATAGTCAGTTTTATGTTACTTGAATTTTATTTTAATTTAAAAAGAAAAGGCAAAGTGGAGGTCATTCTTTCGCTGAAGTTAAAAATGTTCCTACCAGAACTTCCGAATAGCTGAAGACATTACTGATGGCCTAGCTCCACATTTTCTCCAAAAACAAGAAAATACAAGAAGGAAAAATACATCTACAAGAAAATTCACACCCTCAGCTTAGCCTGAAGATAGAAGCTTCAAAAAATTGTAAGCAGAAAGAGAAAAACCACCAAAACCCAGTGTCTCATCTCCACTGCTCTTGCCAGCCCCCATGTTCGCACCCACCCTGACCCAGACCTACAACAAGGCTTGGTGGTGAGCAAAAGTGGACTGAAAAAAATCCTGCAGGGACCAGGAGACAGATGTGGCAAGCTAGCAAAGGGGTTCAAGGTCTACCTAAAACCACTGCCAAAAATTACAGTCCAAGAAAACCTTTCAAGAAGGAAAAAAGACCTGAATCTATATATTGAAAGAGTGGGTATATTAATTAACCTTTAAAAATCACTCCAAGAAATATCCTAGGAAAGCAATTAGAATTCAAAGATAAAGAAAATCCTTACAGCCTCCAAACAAAATGGCCAAAAAACATACAAAGGGCAGGTAATCTGACTTACATCAACTCTTCAAATTCTACATCTGAAGCAAAGCAACGATAGAATAGTGTTGTTTTTGTTTTGGTTTTTTGGGGTTTTTTGTTTTGTTTTGTTTTTTTTTACAGTTCAATGAAAGAATGGATAAACCAAAGATTTTATATCCAGATAATTCTTCCTTTAAATATCCAAGCTATGGGGAAAACAATTCCTAACATTCAAGAATTTAAGACACTCTTCATCAATGAGCCCTTCTCAAAATATCTATTAAAGGATAATTTCATCCAACCAAGAACTGACTGGGAAAACTTCAACAAAAGTGAGGGTGACCATTTCAAAATATATAAATGAACAACTGTGACTAAAGAAACATGAAGATTAGAGTTGAAACTAATGTATAAAAATTGTATGTTTTGGCAAAATAGAGATAACACAATTAAAAAGGGGCGAGAAAGGAGAGGAAAAGGGGAAAATAAAATCAACGGATTTTTGTATAAGCACTTGGTAGGAATTAAAGAATACCAATAAACTGATCAACTGCTAAAACACTGGAGGGCCCTGATAACACCAGTTAAGACGGTTTCAGTGAAACGGTGGAGATAAAGCCCCATTCAGGCGAATTCAAGGAGAGAATGGAAAAAAGAGGAGTTAGATCAGGTACAGATGACTCTTGAACATGTTGAAGAAAAGGAAAGAAAGGGTGGTAGCAGGGTTTAGGAGGCTCTAAATCCTCCAAAACTGAAGAGTTTTTACAATAGGGGAAATGAACGCATGCTGTATGTTGATACACCTAAGAGACAGCAAGATTAAGGATTTGGAAAAACATCCTTCAAACATCAAAAGTGTGAGGTCTAGTGGACAATGGAGGAGCTGGCCTCAGCTGGGGCAAAATGCAGTTCATCCGCAATAACGAGAAAAAAGATACGGCATCTAGGTGCAGGTGTAGGCAGGTGGTGAGATCGTATGAGAATATTCTGACTACTTCTGTCTTCTCATGGAATCAGCATTTCTCGAAGAAACAGGACTTCAAAAAGCCTGTGTTCTTTTTACAACAATATTCTATATTAAAAAGGCAGCAGAAGCAATAACAGAAAAGTCAGTTTTGTTCATTTTTACATGTTATTTCCCTAAAATTTTCATCTTAAAAATAAAAACAATAATAATTAACACCGTAGAACATTTTATTGTTTATCAAGTGCCTTCACATATGTTGTCAAGAGCCTAGTATGCCAGTGGGAAGCGATGATCCAGAATCCCAATCCCAGGCATCTGCCTCCTGAGTCCAGGCTCCTTCCGTCCTCCCGGGTACTGAACGCTAACCTGGCACCTGCCGGAGCTTACTGCCCTCATCTGTGGACACGGCTGCATCCTCTGGTACAGTAAGCCCCTTGAGGGCTGCTACCTTTTTGTTCCGGATTCCTGGAGCTGTGATCTGATGCTGAAGAAATAAATGAACAGATAAAACTATCTCATTTGGATGACACTGACATTCATTTGGAACTTTGGTCAATGCATATATTGAATTTTGCATGGTCTCTTTTTACAGCCTAGCAGCCTTATGAGAGACAAGAACATATGTGTCAGCAGCATTGTTTTCGGTCAATGTCCATCCACCTCAACACAACGGCGACCTTTAACAAACACGAAGTTCCATGAGAACAGTACCTGCCACCTGACAAGAGAACCAGTCCTCTCAACCTCCAAGTTACTTCAGGGTAGGGGAAGGCTATGCAGAATGACTGTAAGTTTAGCTGCAAGATGCATTTAAAAGGCACTCACATAATTAAAACACACTTGCCGCATTTCAAGAAGTTTATCATACAGCAGAGCCTTCGATTTGTAATTCATTATTTCCCCCCACTCAGTCTGTCAGTGCACAAGCAATTTTCTTTTGAGAGACTCCAATACCGAAGCTTCAGGCCAGAGAAGGAAGGGGAGTACACAGCAGAGCAGATTCCAATACTTCAGTAAGGAGCGAAGTGAAAGCACAGAGGATTCAAAGACGCCAAGGTGCAACAAGGTTTCACAGAACATGACAGTCCTCAGTGCCTTTCCCTGTCCCGGCCCCTCTGTCACAAATACCCTTGGCTCCGCTGCACTGAAATGGCCCTTCACAGCCTGCCTACTTTCTCTCGCCTTAAGTCCTCCACACTCATCTGTTTTCCTTTTTTCCCTCAACCTTTCATTTTGACAAATTTCATAGCTACTGAAAAGCTGAAATGATTACACAATGAAACACCAGTATACCTTCCACCTGAGTTCACCGTTCACCACACTGGCTTTACCTGTGTATGTATGTATATTCTACATGACTATTAAGGCACAAAGGAGCGCCTGGTCTGTCTAAAACAGAAGCTCAGTCACAGGATGAATACACAAATGTCTGGACAAATAATCGCTCCCAACCAGGAACAAAATGGAAGCACCAAGGCAGTCGGGAACTTGAGCAGGGGCACTTCTGATCCCCCGCCAGCTGGAGGCCCAGCTAAACGTCACGGCCCTCATCATCATCCTGACAACACCTACTTCAAAGGTCACTGAGACATCACTGAGCATAAAGCACTCAGAATAGCTGGACTTAATCAATGTGAATGTCTAAACAGGCAAATGCAAGTAACAAGACTACTGTTAGGTTATTTGCTTTTCTGATATCTGCAAATATTGTTGCCAAAAATGAAACCCAAGTTAAATAAAACATGCTTGAGATAAATCTGATGTTTCAAAGAAGTCCTAAAATTGCACTTGCATTAAGTCACTCTCCTCATTCAAGGCAAACTGTTTCCTTCTCCGTGTCTCACGAAGGGCTGGTCTGTCTACAAAACCCACAAGCCAAGTGACACAGCATCACTAATACTTACTGCAGGGACCCTGTCTCCGCCATTAGTGACCTGCTTATAATAAGGCGATCCTGAAAGAACTCTCCAGGCTGAAAGTCCACAGCTAGCAGCTTTTGATATGCCCACTTCAGCAGTTTCACATCCACCAACCAATAAAAGTCTAAAAAGGGGAAAGATAAAAAGAATCGACAAATTACAAACATGAACAAGACAGCATCAAAACAAAGAGAGCAGAAACAGGCGTCTTCACAAGGAAAACTGAAACAAAGGTATGATGGACCAATCCTAGAAGGTTAAGTATTTAAGAGGAAACAAACAACAGAAAACCAGATGCTTTTTCAACTAGAATTTCACCTTCACTAACACAGAGGTCAGGTGTAAAACATCCCAACACCTGACGCCCAGATGGGAACTTAGAAACGAGAGAAACTATTTTAAGGTTGGCTGCTGAGTATCTAAGAAACTTTATCCATGTCAATAAACTTTGACAAACAGAAGTGTCACCTCACACAGACACCTATGTGTTCACTACAGCAGCACATCAGAGGCAAGGAGGATACAATTCCAGATGTTGGGAAGCAATGACAGCTGGGAACGCAGCAGCTGGACAGAACTGAACAGAAATACCACTGCGATCAGACTGGGCAGTAGCTCAGTGGCACATGACGACCGGTTCACTTTTCTGTTTGTTCCACTTCTTCAGCACTTAGAGGCCAGTTACCAACAGGGCTAACAGCCTAACAGGTCCTGTAAGTTAAAAGACTACGTGACCACACACGAACTAAGCTGATTCAGAATGGAACCCAACAGTTATGAGTTTTAAAGTTACGTTCAGTCAATCTGGCAGGGAACCGTCTAACAGACATCACAGTCACCTAAAAGAGAAAAAAGTTTGAAAGTAAAACTTGGTATTACAGGAAACACCTGTTGTTCCCAGTTACACTAAGGCAATAGAGAAATGGGAGAAGCTACACATTTTTCAATATCTCAGTAAAAAAAAAAGAAAAAAGCCCCTCCCCGATGCCTGGGAAAGCCCCTGCTGCCTGAGAGAGAGAAAGACTTAGGACAGAGGTCTCCTCGGTCGCGTCCACACAATCTGCCCCCAGCACGAACCCAAATGACAGAAAACAACATCAAGCTCCCTTGCCAGCACAATGTACATAATGCCTGCCAACACCAGGCCCCCACGGTGTCAACAAAAGGATGCACTTCATCACATGACAAATTAGTATTTACCTTTTTCAATACCATGGTCATAGATCAATCAGAACTTTACAAATTTTTAGCCTCCACATAAAAATTTTAGTTTCTGTGCAGAAATTGAAAGGTAAAGGAAAATGACACTTCATGACACTATTTAGAGCTGGCACATCAAAAGACTGACTCGGTTTTCTGGTGATGTTAGCCAATAACTCTTCAATGTTACATAATTAAAGTAGCTCATGACGGGGCACCATGAGCTCCCAACACTGCCCTTCAGGACCTTTGCAGAAGGGTATGCCCACAGGCAGTCCAAAAGGGCTCGGCACGTTTGTGCAAAATGCAACACCTGCCCTCTGCTAACACTGCTTACCTCGTGGGGAAGGCAGAATAATGGCTCTCCAAAAATACCCATGTCCTGATCCCTAGAACTTGTGACCACGTGATATTCCATGGATTTAAGGTTGTTAATCAAACGACCTTAAAACAGGGAGATTATCCTGGATTATCCGGGTGGCTCGAAGAACCACCAGGGTCATTAAAAGTGGAGGAGGGAAGCATGAATGTCAGTATCAGAGCCCTGTGATGTGAGAAAGGCCTGCCCAGTGACGCTGCCTTTGAAGACAGAAGGGGCCATGAGCCAGGGAAGCTGGGCTGCTCTAGAAGCTGGAAACAGCAAGAAAACACTGTCCCCCGGGGCCTCCAGAAAGGACGCACCTGCTGACACCTTGATTTGAGCTCAGTGAGACCCATTCCGGACTTCTCACCTCGAGAACTTCAAGATAACAAACTTGTTTTAAGCCACTGAATTGGTGGTAATCTGTCAGAGCAACCACAGAAAGCTAACACACACTGTGTTCCTTTCCCAGCCCCGGATTTCAGACGACCTGCCAGACTAATTCCACCAACTGCTCATCTGACCAACTTTCTAACATCCTTTTTTTTCCCCAGTTTTATTGGATATAACTGACAACAGCACTGTCTAAGTTAAGGTTTCCAGCATAATAATCTCTTCTTCTATACAGTTTGTTTTTGAGGCATAAATGACCCACTATGCGGTTCCTGTTCCAAACTAGGCTACCAATAAAAAACCGACAATAATTTTTAAAAACCGGATGTCTACATATACTCTCGGTCATAAAACTTTCCAAACGGCATAAAATCTTTCTAGGTTTAGCCAGAGAGCTTAGGCCAGTTCACAGTCTCAAAAGTCATTAAGTATACTTCAATTAAAAAAAAAATCATAGATAAACAACAAGGACCTACTGTAGAGCACAGGGAACTATATTCAAATCTTGTAAGAATCCATAATGGAAAAGAATCTGAAAAAGAATATATGTAAGTATAAATGAATCACCTTACTGTACACCCGAAACTAACAGCACTGCACATCAACCATACCTGAATTTTAAAAATTTTTATATACCAAAAAAATTCATAAAATATTGTAACTGTGCTTTATTCACAAACACAACTTGAACCTTCACTCAAAGCCTTTTTCCTACTGCTTTTATATACCGTCTAACAAGTTTTCATCACAGCAGATCAGAAACAATGAACTTTGAGAAGATGGCTTGAAGCAACCCGCTGGGCTATTTCCACCCTAGGCCAGTCCTCAAAGCTAACACAGAATTAATCCTGTTCACCAGGGCAAAAGAGATCTGAGCCCAAAGTCAAGCTAGCAGGACAAGTGTTACTTGCCTATAGCAATAATTCTGTTCAAATGATTCTTTTACTCTAAAATAATTTCTCCCAAAAAAGTCTATCTAACACAAGATAAAATCATATTATTCCTCTGGCTCTAACTACCAGTTTAAAGAAAATACAGTTGAAAAGAGAAAAACAGTTCAAACAATACAACAAAGATGCCATCTAAACAATGGGAAATCGAAAAAAATCTAGACAATAGGAAACTACAGAATCAATGATATGGCTTCCTCAGAACACACAACGTGTTCTCTCTCTCTCTC